AATTTCTTCTTATAATTCTCTAATATCTCTTACATTTTTGTAATTTTATTGCTAGGTGCAGACTGATTCAGTTTTATTATAATGTTCTGATGACTTCGTTATTACTATGTAATGGCTGTCTTTGTTTTTACTAATGCCTTTGGTCTTAGACTATATGTTTAGTTATTTCCTGTGACTACATAAGTTGTCTTCTGTCTTCTGTTAGTGTATGTTTTGTGTATCTTATGTCAGGTTTTGATTTAACATTTTCATGTTTTTAGATTTTTATGTGATCTTCTGAAGGGTGTATAACTGGATTTTGTCGTATTTTGTTAATCTAATCTGAGAACTTTAACTCCCAGATTTAAGCTGTAAACACTTGTGCTTACTGTGCTATTTGGATTTGTTTATGTTACAGTATATTGTGCTTTCTATTTGCTTGTCTTACTTTGCTTCCTTTTTTTATCTCCTTGCATCACTTACATTAAATTGATTAAATTTTGATTTAAAGTGTTCTTTAATTTCTCCCTACTGATTTAGGAGTTTTAAATTCTAAATATACTAGTTAAAAGTCAGTCTTACGTTATTAACATGTTTACCAAATGTGGAAGTATCTGATGGTAATGAATATCTCTATCCTCCTTTCAAACAAGGCAAAGACTTTAGAGTGCTTTCAGTTTGTCTGCCTCATTCTCGTGTTATTTGTGGCTTCTCTGCCTTTTTTAAAAGTTTAAGTCATTTTTATTAGTGCTTCTTATCATTACTGTCATATGTCATTCCTCATTCTGATTTTCCAATATTTTAGATGAACTCTTTATTTTTGTCGTGGGTATGTGTGTTTATTCTTCTCATCTTTGCTCCTTTATCATTCTGGGTTTAGTATCTCTGTTACATACATGATAATATTAAAAAGCAAATGACAACTACAATACAATGCTACTTTCACCCAGAAGATTGGCAAAATTTTAAAAATTAACACTCTCTATTGGTAAAAAAAAAAAGTATAGATATAGATATATATAGAGAGAGAAAGGAATAAACATATATTGCTGCTGGAACTGTAAATTGATATAGCCTCTATGAAGGCAATTTTGCAATATCTATCAATATTCATAATGTGTATATTGGACTCAGCAATTCCCCTTTAAGATTTTATCATACTCATATTTTTGCATATGTGCATTACAATGTCTATACAAGACTAACTAGCAGCAGCAAAAGACTTCCAATAACCTAACTAGCCATCAGTAGAAGGAAACAGGCTACATGAAATATAGAACTTCCATACAATAGAATACTACATATTTTTAATTTAAAAAGTAAAGTTCAGAGCAGTGAACTTAGGGAGCTGCTATTTGAAAAAATACTGAGCAAGAATGTAGGTATACATATTTGCTGACACAGTAAACTTCTCTGGAAGGAAAAACGCAAAGCTGGAAGCATGGATTGCCTGTGCAAGAGGGATTAGCAACCCTTGGGGAACGATGAGAGTGAGACTCTCCTCTGTATATTTCTTTGTGTCTTTTGAATTTTAAACCACATTAAAATATTGCCTATTTAAATAAATAAATAATATCTTTTAAAAAGAGGTTAGTAGGAAGATAAGCGGAATCAGGAGGTATAGGCAGCTCTTTTGAGAAGCTGTTTTGCACAGCTGGGCAAAGTCCACCTTTCCTTAGCTATGTGACCCAGGCAAGTTAGTAAATGTTTCTAAAACTCCATTTTCTCATTCTTGGAATTGAGATAGTCATACCTGCCACACAGAATGGTCTTGAAAATAAGGTAAGAAGATAAACAGTATGTCAGATACTTAGCACAAGCACCAGTCAATGCTTATTAGGAGTAGAGTAGTAGTCTAATTCGAGTCCATAGAAGCCATCGAACTCCTGGGACATCTAGTATCTCCTGGGACCACTAGATGGCATCAGACTCAAGCAGATGCTCCCTTAGCTTAGCTCTAAAACACAACCAAGATTGTTGTTATTCCCCAGTCCTTTCCCCTCCCCACCCCCGAATTTTGACAATTCCACATTTCCTCCTCTTGTTTCACAATTGCCATGTGAATTCCAAGTGACTATCCCACTGGGTGGAGGCATAAAGTACTGGAAACTCAATGCTGTTTCCACATAGTCCCAGGCAGACAGGATAGGGAGTTGTTTTGGGGGTCCGAGGAAATCTATGAGTTTCCAAAGCTTTCCCCTCTCCGTTCACACTTTCCCTTAGAAAGAATAAGGCATGCCTAGGTGGGAAAGATACTGCAGGGAAGTGACAGGAAGGGGAAATTATAGGGTAAGGAGATCAATCAAATGTGATGGGGCGCAGGAGTGAACAAAAAGAACTCTGAAGCAAACCAGGATTACTGATATCTGTGGTTCCCAGACAAACCACACTTACAGGAATTTGTCTGTCTAGGCTGAATATTCTGACTGTCAGGGAACATTTTTCTGTGTCCCTGACTTAAAGCCTACCTGGGAGTTTTCCCTGAGATGAGAAACTCTCAGGCTATCTTGAAGTCTGCTGCAGCTTCTGTGCTGCCCATCAAAATTAGTTTTCCACCCAGCTTTATCATGATGAGCTGTGTGCTTTCTTGTCCGTTTCTCTGTAAAATTAGATTTGACTGTTACATTATCTTTAAAATGCCTTCCAGGCTTAAAGTATGATGATGCATGGGTGTGATTGTACTGAGAAAATCAAAGAATTTCTCAGATCATCTCCCATGAGAACTTCAGCTTCCATAAAGTTGGGAGATACAGGAATTATTATTCCTGTTTTATGAATAAATGACATTTGTAGGGAGGGAAAGGGGCCGGGCCCCAGTTCTTCTCTCCAAATGCCTATTTTACCCTCTGTGAAATTTGAGAGATGGATAGGTTTGGAGCTGCAAGTCAGCCCAGGATGAAAGAGGCGAATCTGCACAAGAAACTGCCCACTGTCACCCCGCCCTCACCCCACCCTGCTCCCAACAGCTGTCAGGCAATAAAAATTCCAAACAGCAGTTCTGGCAAATCCATTGCCAGCACTGGAAAGTACCTGCTGTTTCCGGGAATATGAAGGTTTCTCTTTCCTAGAATAGAAATCTTACAGGTAAGTCCCTCCCAGCAACCAGTGATGTGTACAATGCTGCATTTTCAGTGGTGGGGATGTGCACAAAGGATTAAGAAAGAGGATGATGGAGGAGAGATTTATTCATTTGTTCAATAGACTTTTTATTTATTCCCTACTATAAATCAGGCCCTCGGCCAGGTAGCAGATATAAAGCTTAATAAGATATATGGCTTTCCCCCCAGGTGCTCATAGTCTAGTGAAAGGTCAAAAAAGCAGGGAAGGGGAAGATCGAGTTTGAAAAGGGCTGTGAAAGGCAACCACACAGGGATAGAAGCACATGGAAACGGCACTTTCCCCAGACTGAGGACATAAGGAAGGCTTCCTGGACAACCTGAACCCTGAGTTAAGTCTTGAACTTGAAAATCGAGGGCGAGTCAAGCAGAAAATGGGCAAGAAAACACCATATGCAAAGGCACGAAGGTACTGGGGAGGGCAGGAAGTTTGTTGTGGAGCTGAATGCAACAGGCAAGGGTGAGAGGGAGGGGCTGGAACACTCTGTGTGCTCTGAAAAGGATCTCCGCAGCAGGGCTGAAGAGCACCTGAAGGAATTTTCAGAAATGCTGTCAGGCTATGTGACACAGAATTTGGAAAAATGACTTTGTGAAGAATGGCTGGGAGAGGGGAGCTAATAATAGAGAAACCTCTGGAGATGGGATCATCTCAAGACCATGAGTGAAGGCTCCAACAATGGGCCTGGGGAGAAGGGAATCGATTCAGAATTATTTGGAGCTAAAAGCAGCAGAGCTTTTCTTGATCTGATTATGGATTAGGGTTTATGGACACAAGATGCAATATAATTTATTGGGTCAGGGTGTGGATTCTAGGGTCAGGCCTCTACTCAAACTCCAACTCCACCACTACAACCACCTTGGGAAAGTCATTTAGCTTCTTTGCGCTTCAGTTTCCTCATCTATCAAATGGGGATAATAACCAACCTCATAGGGTTGGGGATAATGAATAAAAATGGTAACACAAGAAAAACATTTAGAATAGTTCCTACTCACATTAAAACTCAATAAATGGCTGGATGTGGTGGCTCATGCCTGTAATCCCAGCACTTTGGGGGGCCAAAACGAGCAGATCACAAGGTCAGGAGTTTGACACCAGCCTGGTCAACACGGCAAAACACCGTCTCTACTAAAAATACAAAAAATTAGCCAGGCATGATGGCATGCACCTGTAATCCCAGATACTTGGGAGGCCAAGGCAGAATTGCTTGAACCTGGGAGGCAGAGTTTGCAGTGAGCCAAGATCATGCCACTGCACTCCAGCCTGGGTGACAGAGCAAGACTCCATCTAAAAAAAACTCTATAAATGGTAGCTGTTACCAATGTCATTATTAATACTGTTAATCAGAGAACTGTCCCTCCATACCCTAGCTTCCCCAAAATAGCAGACACTGGTGGGAATAGGGAAGGATACAGAATGTCAATCTCATGAATATTTATGTCATTTTTGGTTAATTTCTATCTCAAAAACAAACAGATAAATGGGACAAACAGCAAAATAGTAACTACGGTTATCTCCGGCAAGTGAAGCAATGGGTACTTTTTTATATTGTCTATATTTTCTGTATGAATGCATAACAGTTCACGTAAGAAGGAAAATATTTGCCGGGCGCGGTGGCTCAAGCCTGTAATCCCAGCACTTTGGGAGGCCGAGGCGGGTGGATCACGAGGTCGAGAGATCGAGAGCATCCTGGTCAACAAGGTGAAACCCCGTCTCACTAAAAATACAAAAAAAGTTAGCTGGGCGTGGTGGTGCGTGCCTGTAATCCCAGCTACTTAGGAGGCTGAGGCAGGAGAATTGCCTGAGCCCAGGAGGCGGAGGTTGCGGTGAGCCGAGATCGCGCCATTGCACTCCAGCCTGGGTAACAAGAGCGAAACTCCGTCTCAAAAAAAAAAAAAAAAAAAAAAAAGAAGGAAAATATTTTAAAATAGATTTATTGTTCCACAAAATACTATTCATCATTAGGCAAAGCTCTAGTCACCAGGAAATTAAGTTTCCTGGACACAGACAGTCCCCACCCCACCCCATCAAAAACACTTAGGGTCCGAATCTCCATCGTGCCTGCAGCTCAGAAACAACTATCTGGCCGCACAGCTCTAGGGAAACTCAAAGCAGGAAGAGCTCTGGGTCCTGGAGACGCCCCTGAGAAGGGCCCAGTATCCCCGGGGCCTCAGTCCATCAGCCGCTGCTGTACCAGGCGGGAATAGACGTCCTCTCCCTCCTGGAGCTGCGCAAGCTCCTGCAGCTCGCCCTGCTGGAGCACCAGGATCTGGTGGGCGCTCTGAACTGTCTGCAGCCTGTGAGCGATCACCAGCACCGTGCGGTCCCCACGGGAATTCCAGTCCTGCAGCTGAAAGGGTGATCACAGTGCCTCAGAAAGACAGGGAGGAAATGGGCACCATATCCACCTGGGCACCATCTCTGATGACTTAGGGCAAAGAGGTGTGAAATACAAGAGGGTAGGAAAGGGCAGTAGATACAGGCCTGGACCGCCCTTCTCTCCCGGCTGTGCTGCCACAGCTGGAGGAATGGAAGCCCAGGAGGAATCGGGGCTGCCTTCACACCACTGGGTTCCACTCCCCAACCCCAAGAAGGCACAGACTCTTTCCACTAGTGGGTCCTTTGTCCTCCCTCTGCCCACTTCTGCGCAGGCTGATCCTCCCAGCGTGCCCCCTCCCAGGCCCCACTGTCCCCTGCCCCTCTCACGGTGCTCACCGCCTGCTCGCACTGCACATCCAGGGCACTGGTGGCCTCATCCAGGATGAGGACCCGTGGGTCTCGCACGAGGGCCCGGGCAATGGCCAGACGTTGTTTCTGTCCCACAGCCAGCTGGTTCCCCTTCTCTCCTACATCTGAGAAAATGAGAGAAATTCTCTTCCTCAGATACAAGTGACGGAAACAACATATCACCAGGAGGGACAAGTGCACACCGGGTACTTCCACCAGGACCTCAGGAGTGTGGGGAGGGCCATGGGTGCGGACCTGACGGGGCTGCCCACGTGGAGGGAGCACTACTGTTGCATTGCTCTCTGCAAGCAAAGGCTCTTGATGATGTTCAGGGTGTGGGGACTGGTGAAAAGGGCCGGGAAACAGCAAACATCAAGTTACAGGCACACAACCCTCACTACTGACAGTTAGTCTAATTTTCTCCTTTTACTGATGGAGCAGTTCTACAATCTGCAGAAGATACCTGTGTATATTCCATGCTTCATTTCCTGTATGAAGTCATCCGCGTGGGCAGCCTGGGCAGCCGCCATCACCTTATCATCTTCGCAGCTCTGCAGCCCGTAAGTAATGTTGCTCTTCACGGAACCCGAGAACAGCACAGGCTCCTGCCCAACTGAAACCACCTGTGCAGACAGAAAGAGGCAGGGGACTACAAGTAAACCCCCAGGGCTGGGACTCTCTTGTCCTCCCTATCTGCCTCCCTCAGCGTCAACACCTGGTGCTTCTTCCCATGGTTCTCCCATCCTCTCTGTACATGCTCCCCTCTCCTGTCCCCACCTTCTCCCTCCTCACCCACCTGGTTGTGCAGGTAGTGGTGTTCATATTGCGAGATGGGCTTTCCATCCAGCAGCACCTGTCCCCCTGTGGGCTGGTACAGATTCTGCAGTAGGGCAGCCACTGTGCTCTTCCCAGACCCATTGGGTCCCACCAGCGCTGTCACCTCGCCAGGACGTAGGGTGAACGTCAGCCCCTAGAAAACCAGAAAAGAGTTAAGGGCCTGCCCCTACTCAGAATCCCTCTGTTTCTCTTCCTAGCAGAGGCAAGATCGCTTCTCAGAGGCAAATGATCTACAGGCTGTGATGCCCAATTATACATGAGCAGCAGAGAGCAAGGGTCCAGGTTCCTTCCCCGTGACCTCTTTCAGGCACCTTGAGCACAGGCCTGTCCGGGCGATTGGGATATGCAAAGGAGACATCTTGGAACTTCACAACCCCCTGCAGAGCGGTGGGGGCCAGTGTGCCAGGTGAAGGCAGATTTGGCTGTCGGTCCAGGTAGGAGAAAACCTTCTCCGCAGCACCCACGTTGCTGAGCATATCCCCATAAATGTATACCAGGGTCTGGAAAACAGGAATTGGAAGGCCAGTTAATCAAACACACTCCCGCCACAGACCACCCTCCCGACGTCTCACACTCCACCCACAAACACACTGCTCCTCCTCCATATTCAATAGAGATTCTCCACCTTTCAAGGTACAATTTGGATGGAATTTAAAAGTGGCACCAATACTCCAGTGTTCCAATTTACAATGTAACGGATATACAGTCCATTCTCCTACCACACAGCATTGCCTCTGGCCCCAGAGCTTTTCAGTTACTGCTTCCTACTACTTGTGCCCAGTTCTGTCTTGCTTGACTACATGGGGAACTCCTTAAATGCAGGCACTGTGCCCAGTTCACCCTCGTAGCCATCAGAGTGCCCAGCGCAGTTCTCTACACAAAAAATATATGTATCAACTGTCTAGGAAATTGTTAAAATAAAGCCCTGGATGAAGTCACTGTTTTTGAGAACTGGTAAATGCAGGAAGAAAACTAAATGCTCACTCTCCCTTTCCTAATCAAACTGTACCACTGGGTGATGAAATGGCAGATGAGGGGAAGTCTCCCTTCATAGATGTACTTCAGCTAATACATGAAGAATGACAGAATCTCTCCCTTTTGCAGCCCTAATTACGTCATCATGGATCTGGGTACTGCTCATCAGGGGCTGATGTTGCCACAAATGGAGAACCAAACATTGTGTGCCTCTTAGCGGGAAGAATGAATCACCACCTAAAAAAGTACTGTGGTTGGGAAAAGAGAAAAAGAAAACCCTCAATCTCACAAGCTTTGAGGTTTATCTATCAATAGACAGGAAATACAGAGGCAGAAGAGCATATAATACCACAGGGATTCAGTCAACAAAATCCAGCCCATAAGAAACTCCACAGGACAAGCAACCCATTTCTTCAACAAACAAATTTTGCAAGGGAAAACTTTTAGAAAGATACATGGGTGGATGGATGGACAGACGGACGGACGGACAGATGGATGCATAGATAGATAGATAAATAGATTTAAAAGATGTATCGATAGATGATAGAAAGATAGATAGATAGATATTTAAAAGATGTACCGACCAATCACAATACGTGGACCTTTTTTGGATCCTGATTCATACAAAATATAATAAACACACTCACACACATATATTACATAGATAACGCAAGTGGAAATTTGACCTAACTGTATTTGATAAATTTGAAGAATTACTGTTAATTTTTTGGTGCGATGATGGCTTTGTTGTTATATACTTTTAAAGATGTTTATATTTTTAAGAAACATACTGAAATATTTACAGATGAAACTATATAATATCTTGGATTTGCTTCGGAATAATAGCAAATCCTAGTTGAGAGGAAGTGGCTGGCGATACAGATCAAACAAGACTGGGCATGAGTTGATCACTGTTAAAGCACAGGATGTACGCATGTGAGTTTGTAGTATTATTTGGTCTCATTTTTGGCGTATATTTAAAATCCTCCATAACAAAATTACTTGGGGTTTTTTTGTTTTGTATTGGTAAAAGGATCAAATAAAGCCCAAGGCCCAGAAGGCCCGAGAGACAAAGAGAGAGAGAGAAGGAGCGCATCCCTGGATGTCACTCACCTGCACATAGCTCTGCACGCTCCCCTGGTACATCATAAAGGAAAGCAGGCTGCCCGGGGTGAGCTCCCCAGCCAGCATCTGCTGCAGCCCACAGCTCAGCATCAGCACCTGCATCCCCAACTGCAGCACCTGGGAGAGGAGAAGAAAGAGATGAGGCTGAGAATCTTCCCATTCTTTTTGAGACTGAGCTGCAAAGGACCCCAGAACCAGCTGTAGTTTCCCCTTCCTTTCCCCTCCCCCTTTCCTGGGCTCCTCCCACAGCCACTCACCCTCCTTAAGAGCAGGTACAAGGCCTGTTCCTGGTCTCTCCGCCAGCACAGCTGCCGGCTTTGTTCAAGGGCCTCTTTATAGCGACAGACCTCGTGCTCCTCGGCCCCAAAACTGCGAACAGTCTGCAGCCCTCCAACAGCCTCCCGCACCATCTGCCCCGCCCTGGCCGCTGCATCCTGGATCTCCCGAAGCACTGCCTGGAAAAGAAGGTCAGCAGACACTGGGGCTGATGTGGCAGAGGACAGCAGGCCCCCACATCTTATTCTGGCCCATGGGATGCTCCCTAGTCTACCTAAAAATGCCAAACTGTAAACTGTTTCTTTCCCTCTTCCTTACTCTTCTTTCCAGAAGGAATAAGAGCGAACAAAAGGAAGGAGGGAACAAAATATTATTGAGCTCTCAGTGTGAGGTAGTATAGGGAGATAAATGCAATTTTTTAAAGCTTCATTTGAGGTAATTCTCCCATCCCCCATCCCCAGTGTCTGAAACTGGAAGGAAGGGTAGTTTTCCCAAGGAGCCACAGATAGTTAAGATAGGTGGAAATGTAATTCCAAATGAATCAGAGGCCTAAACATAAGAGCAAACACTGTAAGACTCCTAAGAAAATGTAGGAGAAAAGCCTCATGCCACTAGCTTTGGCAATGATTTCTTGGATATGACACCAAAAGCACAGGAAACAAAAAACAGATAAATCAGACTTCACTGAAATTTAAAACGTTTGTGCATCAAAGAACTCTGCTGACAAAATGAAAAAGCAACCATGAAATGTAAGAAAATATTTGCAAATCATAAATCTGATAAAGAATTAATATGCAAAATATACACCAAACTCCCACAATTCGAAAAAAAAAATTAAAAAATGGGCAAGGAACTTACATTCTTTCAAAAAAGATGCAAAAATGGCCAAAAAGCATACAAAAAAATGTTCAGCAGTTACCAATCATTAGGGAAATGCAAATCAAAACCACAAGGAGATAATCCTAATCACCTAATCACCACCATTAGGATGGCTATTTAAAAAAAAAAAAAAAGACAACAGAAAGTAATTAGCGTTGGTGAGGATGTGGAGAAACTGGAAATCTTACGCACTGCTAGCGGGAATTTAAAATGATGCTGCCGCTATGGTGGTTTGATATGATCTGGCTGTGTCCCTACCCAAATCTCACCTTGAATGTGTTTTGGGAGGGACCCCGTGAAAGGTAATTGAATCATGGGGGCAAGTCTTTCCCCTTGCTGTTCTTATCATAGTGAGTAAGTCTCACGATACCTGATGGTTTTAAAAAGGAGTTCCCATGCACAAGCTCCCTTTTCTCTTGCCTGCTACCATGTGAGACACATCTTTCACCTTCCACCATGATTATGAGGTCTTCCCAGCCATATGGAACTGTAAGTGCAATAAACCTCTTTCTTTTGTAAACTGCCCAATCGTGGCTAGGTCTTTATCAGCAGCATAAAAATGGACTAATACATGGTTCCTCAAAAATTTTAAAATAGAATTGCCATGTGATCCAGCAATTCCACTTCTAAGTATACACCCAAAAGAACCAAAAGCAGGGTCTCAAACAGGTATTTGTACACTCATGTCCACAGCAGCGTAATTCACAACAGCCAAAAGGTAGAAACAATGCAAATGTCCACTGACAGATGAATGGATAAGCAAAATGCGATATATGCATACAACAGAATTATTTATTATGCTCCCTTAAAAGGGAGGAAATTCTAACACATGCTACAATATGGATGAGCCCTGAAGACATTATGCTAAGTAAAATAAGTCACAAAAAGACAAATACTGTATGGTTCCACTTATGTACAGTACCTGGAGTCATCAAATTCATAAAGACAGAAGGTAGAATGGCGGTGGTCAGGGGCCAGGGGTTGGAGGTAGTAGGGAGTTACTATTTAGTGGGTACAGAGTTTCATTTCAGGAAGATGAAAAAAGTTCTGGAAATGGATGGTGACGATGGCTGCCCAATAACAATGTGGGTTTCTTAAATGGCACTGCACTGTACACTTCGAATGGTTAAAATGGTAAATTTTATGTTACGTATGTTTTACCACAACATAAAAGAAAAAGAGAAGGTGGAGCTGACATTCAGACTCAGGACTTCCCAAGGACCCCTCTTTTCCCTATGCTGCATCCAGACTTCTGCTGATTTTAAAGGGAAAAATTCCCTACCTAAAACCCTCTAAGAAAGCATTTTTAATCTTTGCAGGGGGAGTGGGGGATGTAGAGACTCCTTTGAGAAGCTAATGAAGAGTTATCCCTTATCATCTTCCCTCCCTATTCCCTCCCCCACACACTCTCTCACACATTTACATTTTTGCTTGCAGTTCTGGAGTATCATGAACCTTCTGAACTCAAATATCCATTGTTGGATGGCTGGATAAGCAAGATGTAGTATATATACATGATATACCTTCCCCCACTAAAGGCTGTGAAGAGACCATCTCTCTCTAGAAGATCCTCTACCCACAAATGTGGAAGCCTCCTCACCTGTCAGCTTTATTCTCCCCTGGGGGTTCCCTTACATGTGCACTCACCTGATGGCGGGCGTTGTACACCTTTTCAGCTGCCATTGTGAAGGGCATGTCCAGCAGAGAAAGGAAGGTGAGTCGAGGCGATATGCTGAGCATGAAGCCATACAGCCCCACCACTTTCACCAAGCTTCGCAAGAGCACATTGGCATTTAAAGGAAGCCAGTTACTCATCAGGGTGGTATCCGAGCTCAGCCGTGAGTTCAACTCCCCTAAGAAGGACAGAGCAGGTAAAGAAAGGAAACCATGTGTACTGCAGGGCTCCCAGAAACTCCCTCCTGACCATCCCCTCTGACACAGCCCCCTCCTCTGAATACCCTCCTTCACGTGCAGAGAGGGACAGTGGAGGCTGCTTCTCCACCCTGTCCCAAGTGAGAAAAGCATCCCCAGGCCCTGGCACATGGGTGAAGGCAGGAGGAGAGGCTGTATGTGGAGGGTCACTGAGGGGCGAGGGATGACCATGGGAATCCCAGACCTGGACTCCAGGCCCCACCTGTCTTAGTCTCCTGAAAGAAATCAAGGTCCTGGCGCAGTAGGGAGGAGAAAAGCTGCTCCCGGATCCGCAAGTTGATTCTAGACATGGCGTAGGTGAAGAAGCCTCCTCTGCAGCCTGCAGACAGTGAGCTGTGGGGCAGGAGAATGAGGGGAGAAGGAGGTGCAGAGAAGGAGCAAGCCAGCGGGGGAAACAGACAGAGGAGCAAGCCAGGAGTGCAGAGAAGCACAAAGTCAGGGGAAGGCTTGCCAGGAGAGGCAAAGGGGAAAGAAACGAGAGACAGACACACAGAGAAGAGATAAGAAATACACAGAGGAAGAGGAAAGGGAAGACATGGTGAGCTAGATATAGGAACAAAATCATAACATGTACAAATTCACAAGTATTTACGGAGTGCACTCTGTACGAGACACAGTGGAAGACGACAATCAAAGTGAAAAGATATTGTGAAAACAACTATCCCAGTGCTTGCTTCTGTCCTGGCCTCCCTCAGGCTTGTCCCTCTGCGTCTCCTCTGCACTGGTCTCCTTCCTGCCCCATACCCAAAGCCCTTCTCTGTCATCATAGATACTTCGTCATTGGAGCTGCAGTAATAAACTCCATCCCCACCATTCTCTGGAGCCCCAGAGGCATGTGGTTCCCATCTTTCATCCTTCAAGATGGAAAATTCCTCTTAGACCAACTACATGTCTACAATAAAACTTAGAGGAAAAAATATAAAAGCATAAAAGGGGGTATTTTACAAAGTATAGGTTTCTAATACAAATTTAGTCACCATATTGAAGAGGTGCTTGGAATAGTCAGACATGATATGATGAAGGTTTGGCCTTTCACGTGGGATGCGTTCTGAGAAATGTGTCATCAGACGGTTTCACCGTTGTACGAACATCATCGAGTGTACTTACACAAACCTAGATGTCAGAGCCTACGGCACACCTAGGCCATGCAGTTTAGCCTCTTGCTCCTAGGCTACAAATCTGTACAACATATGACTGCACATAACACTGTAGGCGACTGTAACACGAAGGTAACTATTTGTGTATCAAAACATAGAAAAGGTACAGTAAAAATATGGTGTTATAATCTTGTGGGTCCACCATCTTATATGTGGCCCCTCACTGACCTAAACATCGTTATGCAATGCATGACTGTAGTTAGTTTCAGCAGAAAGCAGCCAGGATGGAATGAAGGCACAATGGAGAAGTGGTTTTTGAGGGTATTCTAAATTAAGCCTGACCATTAAAATAGAGGCAGGTGGGGATTGGGGTAAGGTGAGGGCGCATCTGCTTAAACTTTGCACCCCAGGTGCCTCACTCACCTCATCCCAGTCCCAGACCTATCAAACAGTTTGTTTGTTTATGTCTAGAAAGAGAAGGGAAAGTACGTGAAGGAAAAAGAGTAATGATTCTGGAAAGAAAGGTGATAAGCCTCAGAGTAAGATCATCAGGGATTGGCAAGATGAACTCTGAAAGAAGAGTGAGAGGGAGAAGCATGCCCGTCCTGAGGAGAGAGTGACCCCGGAGAGATCCTCTGGAGACAGACTCAGGGGTAGGAGGTAGGAGGCAGAAAGAAATGGAACTTCATGGGCCTAGGAATGTTAAGAAATAGCTGAGAGACATTCCATCTGAGACTTAAATTGCTTTTGTACTGCCTTCACTCATAACTTGTACCTATGATAAGACCAGATAAACTTTGAAGATATTGGATGAATACGAATGAAGAAATGAATGGATAGATGAAAGAGAATAGTGATTACATTCACCATATTTTAGTTTAAGTATTTTTGTGCTTTGTGCCTGAAAGGGCCTAGAAATGGAGTTAGGGAAGTGAAGACCCATGCCATCTTTTGGAGCTAGCAAATGGACCCGGCTGCCCATCACCTACCTGCCAAAGGAGAAGACGCACATGAAGAAGATGGCACTGGCAAAGGCATGGGGGTCAAAATCACCTCCAAGGATGTCAATCACACGACCCGTATAGTGAGGGATGAATGTCTCACCTGAAAGAGGCATGAAAAACAGCACATGAATGTGCTGGTACCCAGGCCCTTTTCCCGCCTCCAACTCACAACGGCCTCTCCTGACTCACCCAAGACGGCAAGGGCAAGGAAGAAGATCGCGGCAATGAGGAAAGGCAGGTCCGGCCTGGAGAGCTTCAGCAGCCTCCACATCAAGACTTTGTTGTTGGCCTGGGCCGCCTCCTCCTGGGCTCCAGGAGGGCTCAGCACAGCCCACAGTGACCAGCTGAGCCCCGCGGCCCCATACCCCACCAGCAGCCAGCTCCAAGTCGCTTCAGCGACTCTGGCTGGGGGAGCACGTGAGGCCCCCGCGACCAGGGTTCTCAGGGAGACAGTCAGGGGAGTGGCCAGGCAGAGTGGGGGCAGCAGGGTCCCCACAAATCCCAGTAGCCCTGTTAGCTTTAGCAATCCCCACAGCCCTCCCAGCCGCACGGTCCCCTCCAGCCATAGTCCTGGCAGCCCTTGAGGAAGCAAAGTCCCCAGAGGGCCCTGCAGCAGCCACAGTAAAGCCGCGTCCACCAGCAGCAGAGAGGTCCAGGGTCTCAGGTCAGGGAGCGGCATGGCCCTATCAACGGGAATAAGAGATGAGAAATTACGGTAGTAGAATCCCAGTCCTTGTCCCCGCCCTCCTACCCGTCCGCCTCCGCCCAACCCGTCCATCGGTTTCTCATTTTCGCCTATTCGACCCTGAGAGCTCCCCTCGGCAACCGGTGCTCATCCGTACACCCCTCCCATGACAGACAGCTTTCGGCCTGTCTGGGGAGCTGGAAGCATGACCATCAGGAGCCTCGTGCTTAAAAAAAAAAAAAAAAAAAAAAACCGGGTCCCCACCCCCACCCCCGCCTGCCGCGGTGAGCTAAGCGGTCGGGGCTCCGCTCCCTCCTATCGCCGCGTGCAGAGGGACGGGGAAGCTGGGGGGCCAAGAGGCTAGTGGCTTGGGCTGCGTCCCTGTTGGCGCTCCAGGTTCCCCTCTGCACCAACTCACCAGCCGCGGCGGGGAGACTGCGGCTCCGGGGCTTCTGCTCTAGCGCGGAGGTCCGCTCCGTCTCTCCCAGCTTCGCCGGCCGCTCTGGTCCCCCAGCTGCGCTCAGCCGGGGCGGGCGTCTGCGCTCGGGCAGCTTTCGCTTTCGCTTCCCCAGCCCAGGCTTTCATTCCGGGCGAGGCCGCCGGGAGGGGGCGCGCGAGACCCGCAGGCAGAACTGGAGCCCGAAACCCGGTTCGCGCGGCCCAGGCCTGCAGCGAGTCGCACTCACCCTTAGCGGCGGTTACTCTGGGATATCAAACTGCAAAAAATGTTTCTTTGTCATTAAGTAAAATACAGTTGTCTCAGGACAACTTTATCTGTTGCCTTTGCCTTGTAATTGGAGAATCACTAGATTTTCTCAGTTACTACTTCAAGCCCTGAGCCTGCTATGAAGAAGGGCTGCTCTCTTCTCCCATGCAAGCTCCAGTTTTAGGCGAGCGAAAAAAGCCGGGCTCTCCTAGATAGAAGGTTCCAACCACTCTCACTAGGCCAAAGGGGAGTTCCACGTACAGATTTTGAATTTAGGAGGCCCTGATCTTTTATCTTCATCCATCCTTCTCAGCGGAGCACCTTGAGCTGGCGCGGGTTCAGGTGCCTCTAAGCCTGTACTCCAAATTCTGTTGAGAGCACCTTCAGCCTATGAGGGAAACGCACCGTACTGGGCCTTGGTTCTTGTTCTATTTTAACACTGTTTAGAACAGTAATCGGGTTTCTCAATATCCTTCCTGACCGAGAGCCTACCTATGCAACAGACAAATATGTTTATTCCAGAAAGGACTCCAGATTGAAACCACCTCCCAAACTGAAAACAAAACAAACAAAATCCCCAAAGGAAGGGTCACTTGGATTCCAAATCACCGTTTTGAAATGTTATTTGTATGTCTACCAGTGAGTCACTTAAAGTTTAAAATAGTGGTGGCGGGGAGGGGGTATTTTAAGTAGGTACTCAATAAAGTTTTTACAACTCTATTCATTCTGGCATTGTAAGAATCTCTCCCTAATGAAAAAAGCTCCGTGCTCAGCTGCTTCCTACTTTCAAGCATTTGTTTCCTTTATTCTCTGGAAAGTGTCATGGTCCGTAGTTCCAGCATGATTTCAAAAATCTCATGATGTGTGTCTCTTTCTTTTAACCTGGGCTTTTACATTTTCCCCACTGAAGGGAGTCCTCCTGATGTCTTCTTCCTCTCAAATTACAGTCCTGTCATCTCATCAGCATGACACATCATGAAATGGGACCCCTAATGTCTGTCTATATTCAATATCTCCCAAGCGTTATTTGGGGTAAATGGTATGGTGTTTAGGATTGCCATATTAAGGTGAAGTGGAAGCTTTTTCACCCCACTCTGTAAAGTCAAAAACAGCTATACTAGGTGCCCTATTCCCTGTTCCCCAAATCGTTAACAGTGGACCACACAGGATTCTCCAGGTATCTCTCTATGGAAAGGACCCTAACCTACATGAAATTGCAAACAAGTGTCCATGGACAAAAATGAACAACCTTCCTGAGGTCTTGGAGAGATGAGTGTGGAAGGAAACTCCAGAAAGAAATACATGGTGAAGCCACATTTCTGAGACAGGGGTTGAGTCCCTTCCCCAGAAAAAGCATCTCTTTATTTCCTGCCCTCCCCCCAGCAACCACAGGCCCAACCCCACCCAGCCACAAGACAAAGGCATGTATAACCGTTTCTTTTTATTCTACTTAGTGGGGCACCAAGAAACTTCCCCTGGGGGAAATGCTTGTTCAAACAGAGAACACATCAAGATGCAGCGCACCAGCCTCCTCTGGCTGCTGAGCAGGGCTCTCTCTTTGGCTCAAGCTGGGCCTCATCTTCTCCGGGGGCTTAACATGGCTCAGGTCTCTGAGTCGGCCAAGCCCTCCCACAGGAGGCCTGCCCAGATGCCACCACCACTATTACTGATTGGCCTCCCGGTACTGGTGCAGCAGGTCACTGACATCTGTACTTTCTACTTTCACCCAACCATCTTCCTTCATGTGGTACACTGTAGGCAAATGAGAAAAGAGCATGGAGTCACCTTTCACCTCAATTCCTGTCAATGGTGTTATGTTAAAGGCAGCAACAAGACGCATGTGCAGGCTTAAACCCATGTGATTGGGCCTTCAATGCCCTTCTTCTGACTCTGAAAATTTCCTTCCTACCACTCTACCTCCTTTGAGTCTCTCAATCTTTTTTTTTTATTAATTTTTTCTTTTTTGAGACAGAGTCCTGCTCTGTGGCCCCAGACTAGAGTGCAAGGGCACGATCTCAGCTCCCTGCAACCTCCACCTCCCCAGTTCAAACAATTCTCCTACCTCAGCCTCCCAAGTAGCTGGAATTACAGGCGCCCATCACCACGCCAGACTAATTTTTGTATTTTTTGTAGAGATGGGGGTTTCACCGTGTTGGTCAGGCTGGCTCTCAATCTTAAATCACCCTCCCGACCCCTCCTAGGCAGGATGATGAGAGCATTGGTCTCTTACTATTGACAACGCCTCCAGAATAGCTGTCTCTGTGAGTGGCATGAACAATAGCCCTGCGGCCAAGGTCATAGGCCTCTTCAGGGCTAAGATTAGGCCGATAGCCACTGTCCATGACCCCGTAGGCATAAGTGTTCCCACTGCCAGTGGAGAACATATTTCCTGAGAGCCGAGTCCCATTTTCATCCACATAGTAGAGTCCAGGACCCTGTAAGATGAAAAATTTCAGGCTGACATTGGAGAGGGAAATGTTGACAACATAGAGGTTCAAATGCGAGTCATAAAAAGTGGACAAAAGAATGAACATTGGAATGAGGAGAGTACTTTGGTAAAGTCATAGAACTTTAGAAATAAAAAAGGAAAAAAAATTGAAATCAACTATTTGACAAAAGAGACAAGCTTACAAAGCACATACAACGATCTGGGTCAATAAATAGTCCACGGACGTACTGGAACAGTTCTATAACGGAGCATTCTGTATGCCATGCATCTTGTCAGGGAGGGAGTAGGAGTACATGATGGGAAAGAGATCTGTCATCCGTAGGAAACATGGTGGGGGAACATGGAGAAGGAAGAACACCCACCTTCTTATCCCAGCCACAGATCATACTGCCCATAGAGAGGCCCATGCCCCGGTACTGGCACATCATGTTGGACAGCAGCTTGGAGGCTGCGGACACTGAAATACGTTCTCCATTCCGCAGATAGTACAGCCTGGGTGAGGACAGGGTGGAGTGAGGGAGGGATTGAAGAGATAAGTGTTGGAAAGGAATTATTTTGTAGGATCTAAAGATCAGAGAAAAATTTGGAATTTGAAATATCTGAAACATACAAAGGCAGCCTAGTAAATGATACTATCCCACCAGGGTAGACGGGTCAGTGCTAACTAACTGACATTATCTGGTTTATGAGTGGGGCACAGGCTGAGATTTGGGAGAAGGTTCTTATCACCAAAAGGCTGTTTTGTGAAATACACTATAAGCACTAAGAGGGACCACATGGGACAAGAGCGAGGAGCAATGATCTGAGAGATCCAGGGATTAACCACTAGACTAAGAAAGGAAAATGAGAGCCTCACTTACCTGCATTCCTTGGCCAGCAGGCGCTCCCAGTACTGACAGTCTGCTGCACAGCCAGACATGGTGCCAAGCAGGTAAGGGTTAATCTCAATCACCTTGTTCACCCGTAAGGTAGCTGGAAGAAGATGGAGTTTGGGGAGAGAAGGGATGACCCCACAAATCTCCCAGTGTGTCCTAAATCAATATCCACTTCCACTTTGCTGCAGAGTTGAGCTCCCGCAGAAAGGAGAGCCCAGATCCCCATATTCTGCCTGCTGGAGCATATACACTCACCAATGTAGGACCCAGCTGAGGCCCGAGAATCCACTGCTACAATCACTCCATGCTGGAACTTGAAGGCGAGCGTGGTGGTGCCGTGGGCCATCTCAATCTGAACGTTCCTTTCTCCGTCCCCACATAGGGACTGGACGAATTCTGTGGGCTGATAAGAGAAAAAAAGTAGAGAAAGACGATGAAAAAATCTGTAGTAAGAGGCTCCAGGAAATGGTTTTAGAGAGTATGAGGGTGAGGAAATACGCAGAAATTGTCTAACCATCAATAAATGAAATAGTGAATAACAAATTAGAAGGAAATGGCTTGGAGAAGGAAAAGAAGAGGCATAATAGAAATAAAAGCAAGCACGTGTTACCATTACTAAAAAATTGTGAGAGTGACTTTAAGGGTTTCTTCCATGCATAACTCATTTGACCCTCACAAAACACATTTAGTAAGAATATCCTCATTTTACAGAAGAAGGACTTGGGACCTAGACTAAGTTACTTGTTCTAAGTCACTCAACAGAGATTTGCTGAGAGGAAGCTAGCAGGCAAAGTTCATAGGTTTTCCAAGACACTACACAGCTCCTATATCATGTGATAACCCACGAAAAAGGCTCCACGATTTGTATGTGGACAAGGGCAGGAAAGCTCTCTTTTCTTCCTTTGGGAGCCCCCACCTCACCTGTAACTCTTCGTCCTAAACTGCACTTCCTCCTCTCAGGTCCCATCCCCACGTGGCCTCTTCCTTCGGTCTGGCGCTCTCCAGGACTGAAGGCTGCCCTCAACCCGGTCCCCCGCGCTCCCGCTCTCTTCTCCTCTCAGGCGACCCTCTACTTCTCAGCGCCCGCCTCTCGGCATCCCCGGGGGTTCCCTTCTAGCCCCGACCTGCATTCCCCGCGGTAAGGCGAGCTCTGGAGATCGCAAGGAGAAACTGTAGTGTCCCGGGTCCGAGCGACTCCCACTTCCCGCAGCTGGGAGAGCCCATTCCGGCCGCTGCCCTCTGGGGGCTCTGCATACATCCAGCAGCGCCATGACTACCCAGCACCCGGAGGTCTGTTGGCTCTTGGAGAAGGAAGCGAAAGCGAAAGCCACCGATCGAAGGGGAGGGAACCAGAATCTTTTCCACATCCCCCTGCCTTTTCCGAGAAAAGGACAATTAGTGCCTGGACCAGGACTATCACACTGGGGGTTGACCCATCCTTCTGTGCTCTGTGCTTAATGGGGGTCGGGGGAAGGATGCGTCAAGACTGTAGGAAGAAAGCAAGAAAGGGACGGGCACCTTCAGAAGCCCCCTTGGTGATGGGTTACAGTGAGAGGCACCTCCAGGCCCGGGCAACCGCTGGAAACAAGGGTGAGTAGGGTCGTGTCATCTAGAGACACAGCCTCAACCAGAAAGCTGGAAGTCAGCAGCAGCTGGGAGCAGTTTCACGTGGGGTGGGGGTTCCTGTGACCATCACGTTACAAGCCGGGAGGGACAGGAGGGACGGGCAGAGTCTTGGGTGCAGGTCCTGGGGCAACTGCAGCAGAATATACCCGCCGCATGTGCGGAAAGGGGGCGCCAGGGAGGGGACGCAGTCTCTGAATCTTTCCACGAGGTCCCTCCTAGGGCCCCTCCCGGTTCAACGGTCTCCTAACCCGTAGTCAACCACAAGAGCCCTTTCTGCCCGCCCTTCCTAGCACTGCTCCCTGCTTAGCTGAGCACTGCGGAGTTTGACGCCTCTGAACCCCGCCTCTCTTTGCAACCTGTGTTGGCCTCATCTGCCCAGCAACTGTTGACGTCACATGACCTGGGCCTCCCTGAATGGGAGAGATTTACCAGACAACCCCGCCCACTGTTCTGAGGTTGCCCCTACAGGCTCCGCTTCGGAGCCTGGTGAGCCCGGACCCGAGCCGGCTCCGTGGTGAGTTGGGAGGCGCGCCCAGTCCCTCCGTTCGCGCCTGGCACTGGCTCTGGCCTCGCCCGCCCCATCTTCTACCTCGGGGAGGCCACGGTTCTCAGTTGCGTCCGCTGGTGCCCTGGTGGGCCGTGTCGCGGGGGTCTCATTCATTTCTTGGGGGCAGCCGTAAAGGGATGGGGACGTGAACGGAGCTTCAAAGGAATTAGAAAGCTTAAGAGAGAAGATGATGCACTTTGGGCGTAAGACATTGAGGATGATGAAAGAGGAGACACCCTGCTGCTGAAAAGTGCGCTGCAAAAGGCAGTGAGCCGTTTGGTGTGTCAGAAACATAAGAAACCACAGTACAAAACACCAATTTTATTATAAATATCAAGAATCTACAGGGCGTTTATTGGCCAGCATATGTCTTCAGTCATATTGAAAATAGCTGATTTTCTCTCTGTACAATCTGAACATTTCTCGATTTTCAGTGTGCTGGCCACACCAAGCACCAACCCTGGCTCTACACCCAGTTACGCTAAGGAATTACAAATCCTGTGTTTGCCTTCTAGGAAGTCTGCATTATCAAGAGGAGCTTGGAAAGGAAGTAAACACTCGGGAAATTTCAGGTAACTCCTCCTAGAAGCAGCTGCCTACTCTGCAGCTGTGGTTCTCCACCACGGCGAGGAGAAGAAAACGGAGGGAGACGGGTGCGCAGGTCTGAGAAGGCTTTCATTCTGGAGCATCTTCAGGAGCCTGCACCATGGCCCAATAGTACCCCTTTTTTTCTATGAGCTGCTGGTGGGTTCCCCTCTCCCGGATAGCACCTCCTTCCAGAAAGAGGATGTGGTCAGCCCGCTCCACCAGGCTGAGGTGCTGGGTGATGAGAAGCACTGAGCGAGAGCACCGCTCAGGGCTTTCGTACAGGAGCTGCTCCACCTGAGGAAAGACATCGGACTGTCAGAGCTGGGGACCCTCAGCCCAGGGAGACACCTGTGTTTCCAGGGCTGGGGCTGACCTCGCAGCATCACTGCTGGCTCTGCAACAACCCCAAGAACACCAAGGCTTCCCATTTTGAGTGCTTCTCCACAAACCCCCCCCCTCTTTTTTTTTTTTTTTTTGTTAAGGACTATTTTACACGGAGGGGGCAAAAGTGGGATAAAAGTAACAGTCCTAAGGTGAAACGTGTGACAGGAGAATAAAGACTATTGAATAGTCCTCTTCTTTACCCATAGACTTGGAATTTTTATATTAGATTTTAAGAAAATATAGTTTAGTAGTAAAGAGATGAGCATTCAAGTCAGGCAGACCTGAATTTGAGTCAAGGCTGCACCACTCAAAAGCTATATGACCTCTTTTAGCCTCCACTCTGTCACCTGTATCATGACGATAACAATGCCTGGCTCAGGATTCCTGACGAATAAATGAGTGAGAGCACATGTAAAGAGCCTAGTTTAATTAATATTAATATGACTAGGATGGGATGGGCCTGGTGGCTCAAGCCTATAATCCTAGCACTTTGGGAGGTCAAGGCAGGCGGGAGGATCGCTTGAGCCCAGGGGTTCAGGTCAGCCTAGGCAACACGGTGAGACCCTGTCTGTACAAAAAAAAAAATTTTTTTAATAAATAATATTATGAGGATGGTCTTTTCCTTATGTTTCATTTTAGAAATTCAGGTTATAGGGCTAGGTGAGGTGGCTCACACCTATAATCCCAGCACTTTGGGAGGCTGAGGTAGGCAGATTGCCTGAGCTCAGGAATTCAAGACCAGTCTGGGCAACGTGGTGAAACCCCATCTCTACTGAAAATACAAAAATCAACCAGCCGCAGTGGCGTACACCTGTAGTGCCAGCTATTCGGGAGGTTGAGGGGAGAATCGCTTGAGCCCAGGAGGTTGAGGCTGCATTGAGCCAAGATCATGCCTCTGTGCTACAGCCTGGGCAACAGAGTGAGACACTGTCTTAGAAGAAAGAAAGAAGGAAAGAAAGAAAGAGAGAGAAGAAAGAAAGAAAGAAAGAAAGAAAGAAAGAAAGAAAGAAAGAAAGAAAGAAAGAAAGAAAGAGAGAAAGAAAAGAAAGAAAGAAAAGAAGGAGAGAGAAAGAAAGAAAGAAGGAAGGAAGGAAGGAAGGAAGGAAGGAAGGAAGGAAGGAAGGAAATAAATTCAGTCTGTAGTGTGGATAGGCTCTTTTAACTGGTTCTGGGTGTCTCGTCTTTGCCTCATCTTCTATCTCTACTCCTTGGGAAGGCATCCAATGGAACTGGATTTGGGAACTGAGAATCACAGGGACTGGTTTGTATAATTATGTTAGTAAAACCAACAGAAGATGTATAAAAGAAGCAAGATTGGTGGGATATAGGCATTAAGAAGATGACTGCCTCACCCGTGACTGGCTGTTTGCATCCAGGGCACTGGTGGCATCATCCAGGATGAGTACACATGGTTTCCGGATCAATGCTCGGGCCAGCGCCACTGCCTGTCGCTGACCCCCTGATAGCTGGCTCCCAGCCTCGCCTACCTCTGCAGAGCAAAGGGCCAAGATGAGAACTGTATAGCCATATGTGTGTGCGCACACTCACACACACACACATGCATTCACGCACTTACACACACCAAGGTCTGACAGTTGTAGCTGGACAGGGGAGATTCTGGGAAGATGAACAGAGGCCTGAGGATGTTAGGTTGAAGAAGCCATAGGAGCAAGATCTTACAACTTCGAATGCATGTCCATGGGGCAGGAGGAACTGAGGGATAAAGGCAAGACAATTGGGGTTTTGGTAAAGGTAAAGATGGTTGGGCAGTGAGATGAGCGGAGACAGTACCTGTGTCATAACCCTGAGGAAATCCAGAGATGAAACTATGAGCCCCAGACTTTACTGCAGCAGCTGTGATTTCCTCCATCGTTGGCTTCTGGGTCAGGCCATAGGCAATATTTTCTTGAAGACTTCTTCCAAATATCTGTGGCTCTTGTCCCACTGCAGCCACCTGAGATGAAATGTGATGAAGAGTCATAGAACAAGGCACACAGGAGCATGGTTATCTAGAGATCGAAGATTCAAAATCTTTACTGAGAACATATCACACTACCGCCCTCCCGACCACACCACTATCTCCACCCAGGGCCTCTTATCACTCCCTAAGCCCCCTTTCAGAGTGCTCAGTAAGAATACTCTTCTTATGTGATGCTCTCTGCCATCCTTCGTGCCACCTTGCATACCTGCCTGTGCAGATAGCGGTGCTCATATTGGGGAAGGGGCTTCCGATCCAATAGCAGCTGTCCTCCAGTGGGCTGGTACAGATTCTGCAGCAGGGCAGCCACTGTGCTCTTCCCAGAACCATTGGGTCCCACCAGCGCCGTCACCTCCCCAGGGCATAGGGTGAACGTCAGCCCCTAGAGGACAGAGAAGCACACAATAAGAGGCTATCAAGGCCTCTAACCTTGAGAGTGTCGTTGTCTTGTTACATAGCATGATGTCTTACCCCAGAAGAAAAACGGGGAAATATAGCAACTCCTACCCTCCCACATGCACAGATTTCTGGGTGATGCCTCCCCAAGGCATAGAGATAGAAGATGAGGCAAAGTCAAGGGCAGAGAGCCAGCACCACAATGCCACACACTTGACATCAGATCCCACCGGGAAATGGAAAAATCACATTCCAAATTACAAAAGAAAAGGAAAGACGATAGACTGAAGACACAGATTTTGCTGCAGCAATTCCTTGGAATGTGAGAGCACTCTCTTCAAAACTCCCATTCTCTTTGGAAGCCCAAACTGGGTTCTTGAGTTTGGGGAAGATTTATGGAACAGATGATGCTTACCATTGCCTTTAAAGGGTTAGGAAGGATATATGCTTGGTGGTAAGCAGGCTGAAGGCAGGAAGAAAATTTAGGGTGGCAGAATTGCAGGTGGGGCCAGTGGAATACAGGGATTGGTAGGTGGTACCTGCAGCACTAAGACGTCTGGACGGTTTGGGTAGGCAAAGGAGACATCTTGGAACTGAACAAGGCCCTCCAAGTGTAAGGGAGTCAGCAGACCACTGGGTGGGCAGCGAGGGGTGCGGTCCAGGTACTCAAATATTTTCTCTGAAGAGCCCACAGCTTTCTGTATTCTGGGGTAGGTAGACAGCAGTTCCTAGAGGGAGGTAAGAATAGTGAAAGTGAGGCTGGAGACCTAGTGTGCCAGCATTATGTGAAGTGAGAAGGGTAAAGAATGGAAGGAAAGCATACAGATGGCGCTGAGCCAGAGGAAGGAATCACACTGGGAAGTGAAGGTGGAGGGACCTCACCTCCACAGCCTCGGTGAACTGCATCTGGTAGAGAACAAATGTCACAAGGTTCCCACTGCTTACACTGCCACTGGCCACCAGCTGCCCACCAATGTAGAGGATTCCCACCTTTAGCAGCATCCCTGAAATCTATAAAGAGACCACAGGAAAAAGGGACTGAAATAGAGAAATCTGGAGGGAACACGAAGAACCACAGTCATTAATATAAAGGAAATATCAAGTCCCTTTGTTCCAAGTGACATCAGCAGGCTCAGTAGGTAGACAGGAGAATGAACCAGAGACCGCATGGAGTCTGGCTCAGATGCATAGAAGTCATGGTTATCTTCACCACCATCACCGCTATCACCTTGTCTGGGAAGCATTTGACTCTTCACAAAAGGCTTTCATTCATGTGATGTCAGCTAATATATCAGGAGCCCTATAAGGAAGGTTATATCACTCCAGTTTTTAAAAATGAGAAAACAGCCTCAGAGAAGGTAAATTAGTTGCCATGATCACAAGGCAAGTAAATGGCATCATCGAGCCATGACCTTCTGATCACTGATGTAGCTCTCTTTCCAGTGTGTCACGGATGTCCCTCATCCCCGGCTTCCCTGTTCCCATCACTCCCACTAGCACGTCTACACAGTACCAGCATGTGGCAGGCCCAGGTGCAAGAATCTATGGCTCCCTGCACTTCCTCTGAGAGGCAAAGGAAGGCCCCAGGACTGGAAGACATGCATCTCTCCAATCCACATGGTCGGGTGGATTTTATGTACCATACTGAAAGGAAGCCACCTGGCATCTTTAAGGAGAGGAAGGGGGTTAGGGACACTAAGTAGAGTCATTGAGCCTCAGGTTGCTAGGATGAGAACACTGAACCAACCATTTCCCAGTAAAGGGGTAGTGGAAGCAGAGTCATAGGAATGGGAATGGAGTCATGGCATCTTGGGGACAAGGGAATGAGTATTCCTCTTCAGGTGCTCACACTGGTGGTCCAGAAGTTGACTGCATAGGCCAGAGCCTCCTTCTGGTTGAGTGTCCTTATTTCTTGCAGCTTTTCCCTAAACTTCTGGGCTTCACCCTCCTCATTGGCAAAGCTTCGAACTGTAGACATGGCTGACAGAGCCTCAATGGCCACCTGGCTGGACTTGGCCAGAGATTCCTGCACCTGCGCTCCCAGCAACTGTGGAGACATGGACAAGAGAGGTCACGTGGGTTGGCAAACCATCAGGGACATTAATACCTGAGTCACCTAGTTAGAAATTAAAGGTGAGAAGAGGCAGAGGAAAGGGAGAGAAGAGAAAGAGACACAGCTATGCCCCTTGGACACTAAGGAAATACAAGGAAGAGGAAAATGACTCAGAACAGGTTGGGGATCAAATTCTTAAATAGAGACTGTGCTAGAAAAGAAGACCTAGAGAGTATGGAGAGTCATGTTGAGCAACCTGGGAACATGGATCACAGGGACAGGGTGTTCCGTGAAGACGGAGAATCAGTAAGGGCGCCAGGAAAGTTGGACTGAAAGCAATGTTAGAGGCACTGAGTCTACCAACTCTGGGAGACGAGGGTCTGTTTAGAGCGGGCCAACTCCATGAACATACCTGCTGCCATTTTCCCAGCTTCTTGGGCAGAAGCAAAAGCAGAGGCAGGGCGACCAGGGTGACCATGGTGAGGGGCACTGACCCCCAGAGCATGATCCCCAAGAGACACATGCCTCGCACCAGGTACCAGATAAATAAGCTCAGATTCTCACTCAGAGGCCCACTCAGGTTGGACGTGTCCTCTGTTACCCGAGACGTGATGGTACCTGCAGGGTTGGGAGAAGAGAGTGAGGTGAATCAGACAAGTTCCAAGTGAGGAGAGAAACTAACAATGAGCCAGGGTACGAAGGTCAGGGGCGTCAACATGGGGTTCTAAGGAGGCTGCAGGAAACATGGTTAGGGGTTCGCAGAGGTCTGCAAATCTCAGTGAAGGGAGGATGAGTGTTAGAGAGAAAAGGCCTGACCCAAGACTTTCATTTTTATTATAAAGGCATTGATGCACATGTGAACTTCCATTTTCCTGAAAGCATTCTGTTCCCTAAAGAACCTGTATGTCCCATGCTATACACACAGGCAGGAAGAGCTCAAACTGGTCACATAATACAAATGGAGGAGGAGGGTGCTGCTAGGGAGCATGCCAGTCTGTGCAGCCCTCACTGGGAATCAAGAGACTAGGGTTCTAACCCCAGGTGTGTCTCTAGCCATATGTAACTGTGCAGTTTCAGCATTTAGGGTCTCAGCCTCAGTTTCCTTCTCTGTCAGATGAGGCAGTTGGTCTCTATAAGCTCAAAATTTCCAGGTTTGAAATTCTATGGTTTCTATCTAAGGATACATAGGAACAGACTTATGAGAAAATCCTTGATGAAAACTCTAGGTTTTTCTTAAAGTAAGGATGACAATATTTTGCTCCTGAGGTATATCAAGAATGAGAAAGAACAGTGTTTGTGCGTGTGTGTGTGTGTGTGTGTGTGTGTCTGTGTCTGTGTGGGGGGGGGAGGTGGGAGATCAAAGCAGATGTATGATGTAAATAGTACATGGTGTATAATAAAAGAGTTTCATGAGAAACCTGTTTGGTTCTGTTGGAAAAACTCTGTTTCCTGGCGCAGGACAGCCCGGAACACGTCTCCCTGCAAGTGGCTGTGAACGCGGCCCATGGTGGTGTTATAGATCCCGTCACCCACGAACTCCAGCACTGCACTAGAAAGAGCCCGGGAAAAAAGGGGGTCACGGTGTGTTCAGGGAACAGATTGAAGGTCCCAGGTATCCCCATGTAAGTGCATTTTGGACAGCAGCCCCAAATTCCAACTCCCTCTTTTGCAGAGTGAGCCCTTTTCAGCCCCCAGACCTGGCTATGGTGAGAATGCACATAAGAGTTATGTTTCGAGTGAAGGTATCGACTGAGCGTTTTTGTAGAATACAGTCAGTGAGGCGGCCCGTGAAGAATGGAATGGCCATCTCCCCTGGGGAAAAAGAAGAGAGGTCACGCACAAATATTGTCTAGGCAGGTCAGTTCCAGTCAGACTGGCCCCACCACTCCTTTTCGCCCTCACCATTATCCTGGAGGGCATCAGAAGAAAGGAAGCACTGACATCTCAATCCCGAACCTAAATAGGCTGCCCTGGAACTCGCTACCCTGTGGTTGGCCTCCCAGAACTTTCAGGATTTCATTAGGAAGGCTGGAGATCATGAAGTAGAAAAGCCTCCCGTTAAAGATGAAGATGCTCGGCCTCTCTGCCCCAGAGCAAAGAACTTCCCCGCCCCCGCCGTGGCCCAGAGAATCAAGACCCGGCCAGCAATGGAGCCCAGAACTCCTGACTCCCTCCAATTCAATGCAGTTTCTTCCACGCTGAAGTGGCCTTCCAAGACGCACACTAGGACTTCTTCCCCTGCTGCACATTTTCCAGAACCCACGCTACTCTACCTCACTGACAATTACCTTAGATTCCTGCCCCGTCCCCTTGTGTCGCCCCCTCGCGCCCTGCGTTCCCCTTACCAATAGAGGATAGGACCACCAGGACCAGGAACAGCGAGAGGCGGCGCATCTCTGCACTCAGTAAGCCTAGAAGCCGATGCACAGGGTCTCCAGAGCCTCCCCGACTGCCGGGCACCCAGAGGCCCCCGAGCTTGTGCCACAGGGCGGCTGCGGGCAGTGCCGCCGCGTAGCTGACAACGAAGGCGCTGGGGTGACTTCCCCAGTGCAGTAGCCTGGTGCTGTCCGCGGCCCCGGGGGTTCCCCACGAGACCAGCTCTCGGAACGAGGCAAGTCCCGGCAGGGCCAAGCCCAGCGCCGCCGCCAAAGGCTCCAAAGCCGCCAGCCAGCCCTGAGCACCTGCGTTTTCGCTCGTGGACCCAACCGTTGCCCTGAGGACTCCGCGGGCCCCCAGCCACAGCATGGCCCAACGGCTCAGGCCCACCGCCCAGACCCGGAGCAGCGGCAGCGCGGTGGGCACCAGCAGGCAGCATACGCAGGGCAGCGCGGTCCGGAGCAGCACCCAGTCGGCGAGAAGCAGCAGCACTGTCCCCAGCCACGCGACAGACGCTCCGGGAAGGCAGGGGCACCCGCGGGGAGCGGGACATCTAGAGCTAGCCATGGGCGCGCTGACGCCGGCCGGGTCCGGGCCGGACCTGAAACTCTCCTCGCTCCCGTAGGGCGGGAGTCTCTGGGTGCGGCTGAGTCCGCCCCTCCTGGAGGTTGAGGGACAGAGCGAGGGCGGGACTCTCGGAAAGTCCCAGGAACCCACTGAGCGGTGCTGGCGAGAAGCGCAGCCATTTAGAGGAAAGCGAAATCGAAAGCGGCCGCCCGCCCGCTAGATACGCCCACTTCCAAAAGTGGCCTGCCTAGACTATTCGGGAGCAAGCGTGGAAATCAGATCTGAGAATCTGGGGAGCAGCACTGGTGTCCAGTTTTCTCCGTCACGCACACCCCTCCCGCTTCTCCCTGCCCCCTGCCTCTCCACTTGCACCAGTTTTCCCACCCAGCCTCAGGACGGGGCTGACTCGTCACTTGTCTCCGGGCAGATCCGGCCTACCCACGTTAGCTCCGGGCGCTAAGCCGCCCCGCAGCACCCAGGCGCCTCCTGGCGGTTCGGCGGCGGGGCGGGGCTGCCGCCTGCGCGCTGGCGCTGCGCGCTGTCCCAGGTCGGAAACTAGTGCCCCAGGCGGCGAGGAGCGCGCGGCACCTGGCAGGGATGCTGCGGGCTGGAGCACCAACTGGGGACTTACCCCGGGCAGGAGAAGTCCACACCGGGGTAATGGGTCTGGGCTTGAGGGTTGGCAGAGGGGTGGAGGAGGTGCAGCGGCCGGGGGACGCTGGAAGCGCGGAGAAGTGATTGCAGAGACTGACGCGAGAGTAGCGAGTAGCCTCTAGCAGCCAGCGGTTGCAACCCGTAATGAGCATAGCTTATTTCTATTCTGAGGGGGGCCGCCTAGGGTGTCCGTGAAGGCACGCAAGGCTCGTGGAAAAGGGGGTGCTTTGACTCTTAGCTAGAAGCCTCAAGGGGAAGCTGCTCTAAAGCGCTTTCGCTTTCACTCTGGTCCGGACGGTGGGGGCTGGTCAAATCAAGAGGGTTGGGGACATGCAAAGAGTTGAGGAAATGGAACCCGGGATGAAGCAGAACACCACTTGGGAGAAGGAAACATGGGCACTTATTGAGAAGGACCAACTCATTTCCCTGCCCACTCCCATGTGCCCACTGGGGGACTTTGCTTAGGATGGGCGCCTGGGGCAGATGGTAGCCCCACCACTGGCTAGCTTCTGCTCTCAGACTACTGCCACCACTTGCGTCTTGGTGGCGGCTTTGTCATAGAGGAATAGCCCCTAGGACGAAGTTGACTGTTCTCTGGCCCTCTATTCATGATAAGTCGGTCTGGTGGAAAGCACACTCAGAGGAGTGTCCTTTGGGGCCAGAGTAACTTATGGCCTGGTAAGAAAGGCACAGTAAAACCACATAATTTGGAAAATCTCCCCTAACTGCCAAATGAGCAGTGGCAAGTAGGAAGCAGAAGTCAAACAAGAAATAAGAGTTAAACCTGAATTTTAGTCCCAGGTCTACTATTAATTCTGTGTGACTTTGCGTAAGTCATTTGCATTTTCTGTGACTTGGTTTCCTCATTTGAACCAAGGATCTTTAAGGCTCCTTCCAACTCAACAGTAGAAAAAATGTGCCTTTATCTTCCATCACTTTCTCATGATTCTTTTCTTGACCTGGAAAAATCGTCTTAAACTCTTCAGTCAAATCCTCTCTTAGTACAGATTTAACCCCCTGGCTCCTCAGATATCTATTTCTCTCTGGATCAGAAGTTCCGTAACTGAAACTTTTATTTTAAACCATCTGTATGTTTCTTGCTGCTTCTCTCTTGCCTTGCCTCTGGCCATGCTAACCACTGCCCTCCTCGATTTTTTCCAATGTTCAGTAAATTGAAAGAGCTCACTTCTGACGAAATGGGAGTGAGAGTGAAGGATTGCGGGCCAAAAAAAAAAAAAAAAAGTCTGACCTTGTTTCCCAAGGTCATAGTCACTTGCTCTGAGTTGGGTCTATACCACCACATCTGCGCATACTATGAGCCCTTCCAGTGGAGAAAAATTTCACTTGTGGAGCAGCTTCACTTCTACCTGTAGGAGCTTTATCTCCACCTCTCTCTCTACAGTGGAGAGGAGTCCACTAGGCAAGTCGGAACTCAGGGACACAGTTCTTTCTTCTGTGTTGTATCACAACTGGGCTGTGGCATTCCGCTGCAGCCAGATGAAGCGATAGAGAACGTGGAAAGATGAAGGGGGAAAAGCCTGTACTGACAGTCCGCTCTGGCCCGTTACTGTGTGATCTTTGAGCCAGTCCCCTCTCTGGGAATGTTTCTTCTTCTCTAACATGAGGGGATCAAGGCTCTTCTTGCCCCGACATTCCATGTTCTGTGTCTCTGCAGACAACCATCATGGCAGTGGAGTTTGACGGGGGCGTAGTGGTGGGTTCTGATTCCCGGGTGTCTGCAGGGTGAGTAAAAGGGAAGCTAATGGCCCCAAATACACATTTTTCTTACCTATTCATGAAAAGACTGGTGAACTGGAGCTTTGGAGCAATGGAGTTGACCTTCCCAACAAGCTGCTATAGTAAACTATTTGGTGGGTGCTTGGGTCTCTGAATTTCTGGAAAAGGATCTGGGGACGGAATGCCTATGTGAGCTGTCCCAGTAGTGTGCAGGGATGAGTGTAAAGGAATTGAGTCTGAGAGGGGGCCAGGAGATAGATTTTTGAGGGGCTTCTTTCCCTCTGTGTTTAGGGATCAAAAAGATTATTCTGTTAAGCAGATGTCTGGTTTCTCATTTACCATGTATGGAATTATTTTGTGTCTTCTCCCCCTCCTAACCAATTTCTTCACATGCAAAATGAGTATATGGGGTTAGATCAATATTACTTACATGAAGTTCCATAGAACATAACTCCCTCAAGATTGTTAATAGCAAAGGAAAATTGATGAGGCATATTTTTCTGAACTTAGTGTTTTTTGTCTTATTATAAAATCTAAGCCTGAAAAATAAGCCTAATTTTGATTAACACCTGCAATGATTAATAATATCTAAGATTATTATTTGCCTCCTGCTTTAGTTCAAACATTAAACCTCATGCTATTCTCTTGTCAAATAAATTTGAGAGACGTTGAATGATCACCCTCAAAAACTCCTGAGTTCTGGTTGGGTGCCGTGGCTCACATCTATAATCTCAGCACTTTGGGATGCTGAGGTGGGCAGATATCTGACGCTAAAAGTTCGAGACAGCCTAACCAACTGGTTGAGACCCAGTCTCTATTAGAAATACAAAAATTAGCTGGGCTTAGTGGTGGGTGCCTATAATCCCACCTACTTGGAAGGCTGAGGCAGGATAATCACTTGAACCAGGAGGCAGAGGTTGCAGTGAGCTGAGATCGTGCCACAGCACTCCAGCCTGGACAACAGAGTAAGACTCTGTCTCAAAAAAAAAAAAAAAATTCCTGAGGTCTAACGTTGGTGACTGTTGACTCTTTCTCGACAGCCAGGCGGTGGTGAACCGAGTATTTGACAAGCTGTCCCCTCTACACGAGCGCATCTACTGTGCACTCTCCGGTTCAGCTGCCGATGCCCAAGCCGTGGCTGACATGGCTGCCTACCAGCTGGAGCTCCATGGGTATGAAGCTCTGGGTTTCTGACTCCACACCTACTAGAGCTCTCCCAACTTGCATGAATCTCTGTAGAGTGTGCTGTTCCAGGAGCCGGACACTGGAAAATGAAAGATTCTTGTTTTGGCTCCTGCTGGCACTTGAATCTGCCAGTTTCTGCACCTGTAAAGTAGAGATAATAGTACTTCATGAGACGGTTATTTTGAGAACCACGTGATATATGTGAACACAGATTAAAAGCTGTAAATCACTATCCTAATATAAATAATCAGGACGAAAGCAATATTGTGATCCACCATAATATCAGGCAGTTACCATAAGAGAAATCAAGGTCATTGGGACGGAAGTAACCTTATCTGCTTTTCCCCATTAAAAGCAGGGACTCTGGCAGCCAAAAGAAAGTTATGTGGGTGGAGCTGAGCAAAAGAGAGTGAGCATTTCAAAGCTTCCTACCCATTAGTGGTGTGGGACTCTGGTTCCCCTGTCCATGTGGGAGGGAGGCTGCAGTTTGAACTATTGCAGCTATAGTTTTCAGGGGTCATTTAGCAGGGATGGTGGTAACAGTATAGGACAGAGAGACTTAAAATTCTATCAACCCTCATTCCTAATCATTCCTTCAGGATAGAACTGGAAGAACCGCCACTTGTTCTGGCTGCTGCAAATGTGGTGAGAAATATAAGCTACAAATATCGAGAAGACTTGTCTGCACATCTCCTGGTAGCTGGCTGGGACCAACGTGAAGGGGGCCAAGGTGAGCTTCTCCTAAAGCACTCTCTCTGCTGGGATTCCCCACTCTCCTGTAGAGGAAGATGGAAGTCCGATGTCATTCTAGGAATTAGTTCCAAGGACACTACCTCTGAAAGTGCAGTACATTGGGGATATGAGATACTAGGGCTTCATTTCAGGGTGCAGAGACCACTTAACATCTTAGTGGGAAGGAAGGGTTTGATGATCCTTTAGTCTAACTTGAGGATGCCTCTCCCCAGGTATATGGAACCCTGGGAGGAATGCTGACTCGACAGCCTTTTGCCATCGGTGGCTCCGGCAGCACCTATATCTATGGTTATGTGGATTCAGCGTATAAGCCAGGCATGTCTCCCGAGGAGTGCAGGCGCTTCACCACAGACGGTAACCCACCAAGTGGAAGGGTACCTGGGGAGGGCTTTTAAACAAGGGAAGGAAGTAGAACAGGAAGAGAAATACAAGGGTGACCGTTTATGTCCAAACTGGTACTCTTTTAAGAGTGAAAAGGGGCAGAACAAATGCAAAGCTCGATGGGGCGCTTGGGCAATAGGGATAAACCAGGGCTGTTCTGAGTAAATCAAATGAGGATACACAGTCACCGTAAGAATCAGCGGTGTGCTAAGCACAATGGCTTACACCTGTAATTCCAACACTTTGGAAGGCTGACAGCAGGAGGATTACTTAAGCCCAGGAGTTTGAGACCAGCCTAGACAAGATAGTGAAACCCTGTCTCTACAAAAAATAAAAATAAAAAAATATGAAAAATGATCTGGGCATGGTAGTGCACACCTGTAGTCCCAAGTTACTCAGGAGGCTGAGGTGGAAAGATTGTCTGAGCCAGAGAGGTCAAGGCTGTGGTGAGTGGTGATTGTACCACTGCAGTCCAGCCTAGGTGACAAAGTGAGACCCTTGTTTGAAAAATAAGTAAATAAATGAATAAAAGAACCAGTGATGTGCTGAGGCTGGCTTGGGACAGCTCAGAAGAGCTGTTTGTTAAATATCCAAGGATTTGTGGGCTGCTTGTTGAGCTGTTTGTAACTTTGCAACTTGCGATTGATCACAGTGGGAGCATTTACACCATGGACATCAGCAGAAGCTTTTGAAAAAAAAATGATTTACCAGCACACCACTAAATAGACCTTTCTGGGAGATGGGTTT